ATCCCTAAACCTCCGGTGTGCTCAGCATTGGCACCTGCCACATCAGCCATTTGTCCCATATGGTATAATTACATGTTGACTTTTCTGTTTCTCCCCCACCCACCCCCCCAAGACCATGAGGGCAGAAGTCAGATCTTGGTACCTTGTGTACTGTTGTCCCTGGTACGTAGCACAGTGCTCTGCCCCAGTTAGCACCTCCGCCACTAAGCACCTCATACGTGTTTGTGGGACCACAGCAGGTGAACCCTTTCTGAGTGTCCCACCTGCTCACAGTCCTGGCCTTTAACATCACGGGAGCATTGCTGATACGTTAAGAGGGCATATATTTTTAAAATACTTCTTATCCCTCTAATTCTGCTACTTTCTCTTAAATAGGCAGTGAGGCCACCTGGGCTTTGGTACCCGAAGACCAGATTGCAGTCAGAGTTCTGCTGTTGGTTGTCTGTGAACTAGTAGCCTGGTTTCTCTGAGGCATAGTCGCTCTGTCTGAAAAGTACATGCATTAATAATAATACCTGACCCACAGGGTTGTTTCAAGAGTGAACAGAATTATGGGGAACCATTTTGCATTTCTTCTCCATAGTGCAGAGTCATGGTGGACCAGTGAACAGGGAGGATAAAAATCTTGCAAAAAAAAAAAGAGAGAGAGAGAGAGAAAGAGAGAGAATCTTCTTCCTTGTGTTTTATTCTAAGCATTTTCTTAGAAAACCTCCACAAACCACACCATGTTTTCTAGTAATCAACCACTAGCCCATCATTTGTAGTAAGGGAAACTGAGGCACACCTTGATGACTTATTCAGCTTCAGCAACCTAGCAAAAGACAGAGGCCTCCTGCAGATTACTTTCATCACCCTTAAGCAGAGATGATGGTGCCTCTCTCCTTCCTTTGACTCAGTTAAGTCAAGTCTTAGATTTATTAGTCACCCTAACTATCATTTCCTGAAAGCCTGAAGCCCTATAATGTTCCTGTCTGGTTTCCCAGATTTATGGTCACAGTTTCCAGCCCCCAACAATATCTGGAGTCTGATTTGCATATCCACATTCGCCATCCAATCCAGATCCTCCCAGGGCACAGTCAGGCTGGGCTGGTTCTCTCACCGGGTTGTGGTCTTGCTGTTCCCTGCAAGACAGCCTTCTTTGTCCGGGTGGCAGCGATGCTTAGGATCCACATATTGGTGGTGGATTGTGCTGTGGGAGATGGAACGTGCAACCTGTACATTTGATGCTTGCGGTGGGAGAGAGCAATGCTACTGATCCAAGTCACTATTAGAAATGTCATCTTATTCCTGAGAGGACGCTAGCCCTGTTGGACTATGTCAGAAGCATTTGCGTGCTAAGCTTTCTTTCCTGCTCATTTAATGCAGTCTTTTGAAAAGGTCTGCCGAAACCTGCCTCCACACCCACTCTCCATCCCACTTGGCCTTCATCACATCCTACCTCTGGCACTAGGCAGCTGCCACTTGACTTCACATCTGGGAGAGTGCAGCCTTCACCCCCAGAACAGGACAGCCCAACTTGGATTTTCATGAGGAAGCAACAGCCACAAGACGACCCTCACAAAGCTGTTGAGCTCTCTCTGGTTGAAAGCCCTACTATGCTATTTCTAGACACTGATGGTGTCCACAGTCCTTTGGGATTCACTAGTCTGATTGAGACCTGCAGATGCTGCAGACTTCCCCCCACCCTACCCCCAGCTATATACCAAATACACCAGGGTTTGAGCTAAAGCCAGTAGCACACGCAACCCAGACACACGTGGTCTTCTTGGTGTTCAAATGCTGCCCCTTCCTCCAGGAAATCTTCCCCCACCTCCCTGAGGCTACCTTAGGGCTCCTCCTTCTCTCTTTTCTCTGAACTCTGCCTCATCACTGTGGCCATTTGGTAGAATTTTAATTATTTGCTTGGATGTCTCCACTAGACTGTACGTGTCAAATGTATAGAGATGTCTTAGCTCCATATCCCCCAAACCCAGTGCAGTTTATGGCACACACTGTACTCTCAATACCTATTGAGTGAATAAAGCCTCTGATTGCACAGGAAGCTTTTGTGGGTTGGTTTTGGAGACACTTGTTCTAGAATTCTGCTACTCACAGAGATAACATCAAGAAGACTGGAAGCAGAATGGTCTAGGATTTGTTTTGCCTGCAAAGTTTCTGCACCATGAAGTTTATTTCTGATGGTGGTTCATCTCTTGCTGAATAAAACCCAGAGCGCAGGCTTCCTTTTCTAACAGAGCTGCTATCCCATGTTGCCCCCATTCTCTATCTGTAAAATGAGAGTGTGGGCCAGCTAGAAATATTTCTGATCCCTGCCTTGCTGCTTTGTGATTCTAGAGCATGTTCAGAAAATACCCCAAGATGGCAAAGGGCCTGGATAGTCTTCATCTAACGTTCAAGAACTGTAAATGCTCAATCATGCAGGGAGACAACTCAGGGAACGTGACAGCTGTCTTGAATTATTTGAGGGGCTGTCATGCAGAAGATGAAAAGGATTAGATTCTTTTGAAAGGCCCCAAGGGCTATAAACAAGACCAGTTATTAATTCATTCTACAAATATTGAGTGCCTGCCATGTGCCAGGCATTATTCTAGGCAATAATGATGCAGTAATGAATAAAACAGACAAAAATTCTTACCCTGATGGAGTTCACATTCTACTGAACACAGACTGTCCAAAAATAAAATAAATCCCATGGGCAGGAGCTCCTTAGACCCTCAAAATGAGCTGCCTGTGAGCTAATGAGTTCTTTGCATTCAGTAATACATTTAGTACTTAGAAATCTGCTTCCAATGGCTGGGGCTGCTTAGACTACATGACCTTGTTGGTCCCTTTCAACTCTGCAATCCCATGAATTTAAGGCTTGTTAAGATGAGTGGCCCCTCTAGTATAACTCTACTAAGCTAAATATGACCTCCGCCCCATGGCAACTCTTCACTGTAGAATAGAGACAAGGTAAGTGCAACAGGCTGTTCTTATGACAAGGCACCAAAGAACAGTACTTTAAAAATGTACATTGCGGTGGGGGTTAGGATGAACAGTTGCCTTTTCTTGAGATTGCTGTGAAGCTGAAGAAGGAAACCCACAGGGGACTGACAACTTGGGTTGAAGGACCAAAAAGAGTGAGTCAGGAGGGAGAGAAGGAAACGGAAGGCAGGAGAGGTGGGGACGGAGCTATTGATGAGGCAAGTGAGGAGGGGCAGTCAGAGACAGACAAGGGGAAACCACCAAGTGGAGACCCAAGAACCAGCCTCACTCCCCTCTGGGTCCTACCACCACCGCCTTCTTTTCTGGGGAGATGGGAGTCTAGGTGCAGTGTCCAGGTGCCAATCACAACTTCATACTCACTGACTAGGGGACCTCACTCTGGGAGCAGGAAGCAGAGATGAGAGAGACATAAAAGGACAGAAGCCCCACCCTGTCGGGGGTATTTGCCTCCAGCCACATGCTCTCGTCCCAGACATACCTCGAACCATCTGCCTCCAGGGAGACCAGGGTCTGCTTCTGTTATTGGCTATGATTTCCTCTGTGCTTCTACATGTGGACCATAGCAAGGAAGCCTGCAGTGTGGAGCAGGTGCAGCTGAAGCAGAACCCTTACTTCCCGTAATGCTGTGCTGCACTTTACAGGGCTGCTTATGCTTTCCAGTGTTTTCACATCTATTAATAGCATCGTGGTGCAGTAGCAAGAACATGGGCCTGGGAGCTCAAGTTGTGGGATTCCCACATTTTATTTGTTTGTTAGTAATTCTGTGAGACAGATAAAGCAGAGCTTATTCCCTCTAATCTGGGGGTCAGGAAACTGAGGTACAGGAGCTCATTTATCCATCTTATGGGGTTATAACTAGTATTCAGACTAGGATAGCCTGGCAGTGAAAAAAAGTACTTGTAGTCAAGATTCCCGGCTTCACATTTCAGTTCCAGTTCCAGTTCAGTTCCAGTACATGCCTCGGTATGTCCAGGTATGTACAGTCCAGCTGTGACTTAGAGAACACATCTATTTTCTGATGTTTAATTTTATTATCTTTAAAAAAGATATTGGACTAGAAAAACATATATGGTGAATAGGTGACGTCTTCGGTCCTATTAATCATTTCCATGCCTGTGGCAGACATGACTAATTGATCACAGCACACTGTGCCAGGTATAGCCCACTGAGCCAGGTATAGCCCCAGAGTCCTCAGTACAGGGCTCCTGGGAGCCAGCACCCACTGCTGAAAATCACCGTTAGTACCTGAAATGAAATTGCACACCATCCCTAAACTAGCTCTCCAAGTTCTTTTCTAGTCTAACATTCTGGTCATAGATGACTGGTCTGCGTCCTTCCGGCCTCAGGTTCCTTCCACCAGGTCATTGGAACATTCTGTGGATCAGTAGAAAAAGTAAGGGACTGAAAATTGAGAATGAGAAGATCTGTGTTCAGGCCCCTTCTCTCTCCATTAAGGACTTAGTTTCCTGGCAGAGTGTAATAGCCCCTACCTGCTTATGAGACGTGAAGCAGATGAGACAAGCAAAACTTTTCTAAACTATAAAGTGCAGCAAAAGTCCATTCAATTGAATCACCAAGAAAACTGAATATGGGGCACCAAGTGGGGTGCTCTGGGTGGCGCTCAACTCAGTCCTGCACGTCTCAAGCCTGAGCTGCAGATCCACCTCCTCAGGAAGGGTTCTTTATCTCGGTTCTGAGGCTACATTCTTGAATAATGAAACGATCAAGCCTGACTTCAGATCATTGAGTGGGAAGAGCAGCAACCTGGCTAATGTCTTCTAATATGCAGTAGGCTACAGGCTGTGGAGTGTTCAGTGGATTCTGGAGCTAAGGGCAGAGGGGCTAAACAAGGTTTTAGAGACTGCCACCAACATGCCAAGTCAGTAAAACCAGCAGCTGTTCAGCTTTCAAGGTCTGGGGGAAGATAGCCACTACCTGCTGGATCTTCAGCTCTAGAGAGCCCCACTTTGCTAGAAGGAGCATGACCTTAACCCACCACCTTTGTTCACAGCTCAATGGCGTTTGTGACAGTGCTGGCAGACCTGCAAGGGAGGATGGGGAGCTAGCTGTCCCATCTGTCTGGACTACTTGAAAGACCCAGTAACCATCAGCCACGCTCATAACTTCTGTCACTCCTGTATCAGTATGTCTTGCAAGAGTCTAGATGACAGTTTCCCCTGCCCTTTTTGCCACTTTTGCTGCCCTGAAAGGAAATTTATAAGCAATCAACAGCTGGGTAATTTGACTGAGATGGCAAAGCTAGTCCAAGTAAGGGGAACCAAGAGGAAGCGGCAGGAGGAGACGCTTGTGTGTGAGAAGCACAATCAGGTTCTGACCTTATTCTGTGAAAAAGGCCAAGAGGTTTTATGTCTGCAGTGCAATTCCTCTGCAGGTCACCAGCATCGGTGTGTTTGGCCCATAGAGAAGGCCGCACCCATTCATAGGAAAAATTTGAAGTGTTACATTGCAGCATGGGAGGAGAGTGTAGGACTATTTGGAAAAGTGTTAACTGTGCAAACCAGAAAATCCCTGGAACTGGAAGAAAAAAAGTAAAACATAGGAGAGAAGAAATAAAGTCTGAATTTGAGCAACTTAGGTGGTTTCTCCAAAATCAGCAAAAGACTGTTCTCAGACAACTACAAGTTGAAGAAATGGATGTTTTAGCAAAACTAAATGAAAACCTAACAAAAATTTTAGATCGTGCCTCCTCGTTAAAATACCTATTAAAGGAGATCAAGGGCAAATATGCCAAGTCAAAACTGGAATTACTGGCAGATGTTAAGAGTATCTATCACAGATATAAAAACTTAAAATGCCCTGAACCGTTTTCATTCAAACAAGAAGAATATGGTTACTGTTTTCCTCCACAATATTCTGGCCTTAACAAAATTATCAAGCAATTTCAAGTAGATGTAATTCTAGGTCCTCTAACCGCACATCATAAACTTTTTGTCTCAGAAGATAGAAAAATTGCGGGATGTGGAAATGCAGCACAAAACTTACCTCCTACCTAGGGAGATTTTATCTGTGCCCAGCTGTTGTGGGTTCTAAGGGATACTAACCAGTCCGGCAGACGGTACAGGGAAGAAGTAAAAGACAAACCTGAATGGGTTCTGGGTGTCTGTGATCAGTCCCTTCTCAGAAGGAAGAAGAGTCAGAATCAACCCATGTTAGTACAGAATGGATGATGGGGAATTGGGCGATGTAGTGAGAGTAATTATATTGCATTAGGTCCCAAGAAAGTTAATCTTCTGCCAAAAGTAATACTAAGCAAGATTGGAATTTTTTTAGACTGTGAAATGAGTAGGGTTTCCTTTTACAGTTTGAGTGATGGATCTTTTCTGTATTCATTGAATGATAATTTCACAGGACCACTTTGGCCTTATTCCTATAACTGGAACAGACTCAAAACCTCTTAAAATCTGGACAGTAACAGGTTCTGAATGATAAACTATTGGAAGACTCTCATTTGTTTCTTTTTCTTTCAGTTTGTGGACGTAACTGAGCCTATAAATCTAAGCTTGACAAGTCTTTTTTTTTTTTTTCAGTTGTTCCTACAAACAACCAAATTTTTATCTCATCTTTAGCAATTTCTAAAAAGGTGATGATAGTGCCTACTTTGTAGATACATCATAGGGTCCAATCAGAAGATGCCTTAGAAATTCTAAGATTAAATGCTTGAAAAATGTATTGCTCATGAAGCATATTATTTAAGAAAATCTATTACTCTAGTAATCTCCAATAAAAGCCCAATATTTTTTTCTGTTTAAAAAAAAAAGTCCATTCAATTAGCAGACAGTAGTGCGTGCCCAGTCTGAGCCGGGCCCTGTGGTAACACACTGGCCCTGGAGTTCCCACCAGCCATCCAGATCCTCTTCCCTCTCAGGGACTGAGCCACAGCCAACTGTTGACCATCCAAGCTAGCTGTGTTGCTACAGCTGGTCCTCAGATGCACCACCTTGATGAAGGGCAGGGTAGCCTGGGGCCTCGAGTAGATATGGTGGGTTTTTCCATCTCATAAAGCTACCTTCTGCGAGCTCACTTCCCCTTTCTCAGACCTTTCTGTTGCCCTTTGGCTCTTTTACTTTTTACTGTAACTTACTGATGAAGTTATGCTGCTATAAAGAGAGAGGAAGGGGTTCTGGATCAGGAATGAGAACTGGCAGCCACGGCAGCCCTGTGAGGGCAAAAAGATGAGGCGCCTGGAGACAGCTGTCCTGTTGCCCACGTCACTGATCCGCTCACGGGGCCAGCTCACAGCTAGAAGTCGGCCTCCCAACCCTCACACCCGGTCCCCGCAGGCTCAGCGTTCCATTACCCAGGCTCTGTGAAGATTAGCGTGTCATCTTTAAAGCACTTGGCGCTTCTTGGAAAAAGCCATGCTGTGAATTCAGGCATTGCTAAAAGATAGAAGACTTATTAAATCCCTGACACCCTCCATGCATCAGAATTCTTACAGCCTTGTTCTGTTACATCCTCAGTGTCCTTTGCTGGTTCCCAGCTGCTCCCATAGGCGAGCAAATTACTGGCAGGGTTTGTTTAAGAAACGGTACTTAGTCCACCTAGAATACTAGTGAGTGACACATCCCGTTAAAAAGAACTGTTTGAAAAGATTTAGCATGGAGGTTTGCCATGCCCTTTCTGCTCTGCCTGGAGAATGCAGGAACCCTTCAGGATTTCAGAAGTCTTGGGAGACTAGCTCTCTTCTTAGTAATATCAGAAACCAAGTTTTGGAAAACACGTTTTGTTTGTACTGATTCTAAAATACCTAGGGTTATTATCCTTGGCGCTGTCACTGCAGAACACCCAGAGAATGTGACTATTGAGAGGAGAGAAGCTCAATGGGCCTTCGTGCCCTCCTTCCCACTGGACAGAGTCATGGTGTTGAGTTAGAAGTGTTCAGCCTGGGGTGATGCCTGGGGCTCAAAGGAGTAGGGCGCCGGCCCCATATGCCAGAGATGGCGGGTTCAAACCCAGCCAAAAACTGCAAAAAAAAAAAAAAAAGACATGCTCAGCCTGTTCCTGTGTGATCCAGAACCATGAACCCACAGTGGAAACTTTTCTATCTGAAATCACCTCCGGCTTGGTTCCTTCATCTCTTTCCTCTTCTGGCTGCAAAAGGAAACTCGGAGAGTTCCGTCTTATCTGTCCTTTCCCTGAATCTTCAAGGAGAGTGTCTGCACCCAGCCTGCCTCATGCTATTGGCCTGAGTAGAAAAGCAAGGGAAGCTTATTATTTACTGCTAGCGAAACAGACAAGGGGAAATGTGTGCTTTCACTCTGCATCCTGATCTGGGAGGATTCAGGTAACACAATGTGACTCATCATCAGGTATAGGCGAAACGCCTATATTCCTCTGGCCAAAAAAGCCACTTGAGAGAGAGCAGTGAAAAGACTTTGTGCAGGCATACTTAAGAAACTGAGGCAAAATCACATGAAGCCAGGTTAGTTGCGGGCCTAACATGAACAAGGTTTTGGCTGGAATAGCATTTCCAGACTGCGTTAAGGAATTAAAGTTGACTTCATAAGGCCTATGCGAAAGCCCTTTGGAACACTGGCCAGATACCCATCAGTAACCTTTCCTGATCTGCGGTAAGTCACGAAGGTCGCTTACTGACGGGTCTGGGTTCCTGATCTGTGGTAAGTGACAAAGGTCGCCTGCTGACAGGTCTGGGAACAGTAATGTCATACAAGTATCTAATGGCACAGATGAAACTTGGGCTCATGAAAGGCTTTTGAGAAGTCCAGCCTGAGAATTCCTTTATAAAAGGCTCCAGCAAAAACCCCCCTGACTTAAGGCCTCCATGGGAGCAGAGGTTTGCACACAAACTCCTATATGCCCAAGAAGTTTCTCTATGCTTTGCTTAAAGATTCAAAGTAACTGCCTCCAAATGGCATGGTCAGTAGAGCAGACATTCAAATTGTCTCTTTCCCCTGTAGCCTCAGGCTTCATCAGATAAGATCAAAGAAAGTAATAACTGACAACATGTTCTTCATTAAGTTATGTTAAACCGGGTTATATGGAAAGGATTATGCTTAAAGGTGTATGTTGGGTGGGTTATCAGATCACCAGGGAGAAGCTACTTACAGGGCGGGTGGTCATAAGCTGTGTAAATGGATCAATGAGGTCATTGCTGCATTGTGCTCATGTACAAAATTCCCTATGTAAGCCAACTGCAGATAAAGAAGCTCGCCATTCTGCCTGAGTGAGCAGATAGTCACCTTTATTTAAAATACAATTTCAATAAGCGTGCTTATTCTTCACAACATCGCTTTCCCGTGAGACCCTTACTGCAACAATCGGGTTGATGTTTCCTGTCATCCCATCTCCCGGCTAGAGACGCTCCAGTTGGTCAACCAACCCAACGTACCCTTTGTCCAAAGAGGACTTGTTTTCAGAGTTTTGGATTTTGAAAACAAAAGAATGTGTTTTCAAGCCATTGCCGTATACTTCAGTTTAGGTTGTATATGTTCCTGCCCCCTCAGTCTAGCTTTTTTCCCATTTTCTTCTGAGGCAGATAGAAACCGTGTCCATATAGGTGTCTAAAGAAAATTCCTGCTAGAGTAGGTCCTAACTGGCTGTCCCCTGGGAAAAGTAAGCCTCTGTCAGTGGACTGAAGTTTCAGGGAACTTGTAGGGACCTCCAAATTGGCCTAATTAATGTGTTTGCATAGTAATATACCTGTTTTCGTTGTAGATTTAATTAGCTTCTTTAAAAATAATTCTTCAGGTGAAAAATGTTAATGGTTTCTCATCTCGCCCTGCTGAGCAGAGCCAAAGAGCTTGATAGTTTTAGGCCAAATAAAAGGAAGCAGTACTTTACACCCTAGGTAGTAAATGTGTGAAACTCATTATTCCCAGAAACAGTATGGGCTGAAATGATAAATAGGTTCCAGGAACAAACTTTTACACAGCGTCGTGGATGACAGATACAAATTGGGTTATTTAAAAGGAAGTAAGGGGACATTTCCTAAATGTTTCAAGTTATCATTATGGATGAGTCCCCATATCCTCCCATGACCCTCAGAATGCCACCATCAGGAACAGAATATTTGGTGGCTGAATGCTAGTCTGACCTACTGAAGTACTTTTAAATTCATATGCTCTGATGTTTTAGGCTAATTTAGCCAGTTTAACCTCTATTCTTTATATATCTATATGTTTTGGTCTCGTTCAAATAGCCTCTTCCTCAGAATTCTCTGGAATGATTTGGAAAAACCAAAAGCCCAACCATTAAGATGGGCAACCTAAGCTCAGTCCTGCCTCTACCACTAGCCAGGTGCAGCTCATCTTTTCTACCTGATTTTTGTTACTGCAAAGAGAGGGATAAAGTTCTCCAGATCAATATATAAACATTATATGCACATTCATTCGCAGAGTCCCTAGAATAAAGGAACAGTTGGGTTAGGGTAGAGGATCTTCTAGAAAGGATAAAATAAAGCATTTCTTCTTTCTGACCAAAGAAACCGAGTATTGTGGAGACAGTTTAAGGAAACCCTGTCAGCAAGAGGAACCTCTCCAAGCTTGCTTTTCTCTGAACTTGGGAAAGAATGG